TCAGTAGAAGCTCAGTATTTGAAGCGATTAACGGTGGATAATCTTTTTTTTTTTACAGGATATTTTTCGCTTCAGATTGATGCAAACAATTCATTTTACATCGCCAATAAAAATCCTTTTAGGCAAGATCGAAACAAAAAAGGAATCTTCTAGAGCACACAATGAGGAAAGAGGGCTTGGAAAATGTGATACTCACAGGACAGATTGAAGGGAAAAGGGAAAGAGGAAAACAACGCATAACATAATTAGTAAATAGATGGCTATTAAGAGCTAAAAATGGTAAGACATTGTGGCGATCCATGATTGGTATTCAGCACTTAAAGTAAACTAAGAATCAACAAACAACATTAAATTTTAACATGGCCACACATGCACTTCTCTCTAGGTTGACTTATCTATCTATCTATCTATCTATCTATCTATCTATAATAGCTGACCATTCGTATTCAGAAAGTGAACGTTCTTACCACTCGGCCATGGACCCATATATATATAATCATAGTATATCGCACATTTAGTTCTAGTGTTAATAAATGAGTGCTCGATGTAACACAACAGAGCTATTCAGTATTAGTAAATATACATATTATCCCTTATCCCTTGCACGACTCGGAGTTTCATGTTTTATTTACAACGCAATTTTTAGGTGCTGAGTGTAGACTGGCCGTTACGTAATTTAAATTTAAAAAAATATATATATGGTTATCGCAAGGTTGCCGTAGTTAACTATTATATTGGGATTTAGACAATTATGTGCCATGCGTGATACACGCTTAGGCGATCATGTATCTTTCGATACATGACTGACGAAGCAGATTTTTTTAACGCAGTAGGTTGCCATTTCTTTCTGCGGTAGACCAGTTGCCATCCAAGGCTATAGAACTCGGTTTGTGCTGCTATTTACACGTAGACGGGGGGAGAAGACTATTTATACCTTTCCCTAGGGTATTAGCACGCAGTGAATGTAATGGATTCGACAGGAATTCGAAACCGGCTCTTCGATTCCTAAATCCTAGCTGTTATCCATTACTGGGATTACAGTAATTTTAAGTTAAAAAATTATATTTGGCATTTTGAATAAACGAGATTTATATATATATATATATATATATATATATATATATATATATATATATATATATATATATATATATATATATATATATCTGTGTGTGTATGCATGTATGTATGTATATGTGCATGTGTGTAAGAAACAAATTAAAAATGATAGTTGAATTTCCTAAAACAAGAAGAGCCGAGTTAATATAATCTTCATTAATACTTTTACCATGATGGATGCAATTGAGATACCTCTGTATGTGGGATGATCTTCTGAGCTACCTTTCATTTTTCATAATGCCGTAATGTGCGATAGACCCTATATTTGATCGATTCATTTCTGATTCTAGACTTCTTTTATGAAATAGAGGGACTTGTTATAGAATTCAGTGAGAAAATATGTTATTTTCAAAGTTTAGCTTCAGTGTCGAGAGATCCTTTATTATTTCTTAAATTTTAATATTTTTTTTTAATTTCCTCATCAGCCTATGTTCATTATTGTTTATGTTTGGGGACGGGTTTTGTAATGTTCAGAAGAATATTGGTATCTGTTTTATGTCTGCGGGCATCTTAAGTTTAGTTTGGTCAGGTTTGAACCCAAATTTGCCACTCATCGCTAGACAGCACCATCTGTCACTGTTTTTAATGTACAGCTGGAAGGAGAAGATTCAGTTTCATATTTCTCTCACCAAAGTGTTTTTGGGGACTTGTCCTGTGAGAGATCCGAAGACGCATTGGGATGACCAAAGACGCATTCCAAAATCTAGGCAGAGTATTACGAGACAGAAGGATTTCGTTGGCAACAAAGAAAAGAATACCGAACTGCTACGTGATATCTGTCCTCTTTTAGGGCAGCGAATGTTGGGCGGTCCCCTCAAAGATGAAGAAGAGACTCGAGGCAACGGAGGTATGGTTATACAGAAGGATGCTAAGGATACCATAGACCGAACATGTGAGCAACGATGAGATTTTGGATAGGATACAGACAATGAGGAAGCTTATAATTAACACCAGGAAGAGGCAGATGAAATTTCTAGGACACGTAATGAGAAAGGAGGGATTGGAAAATCTGATACTCACAAGACGGATAGATGGAAAGATGGACAAGAGAAAACAACACGTGACATACCTAGCGGGCTTAAGCAAGTGGATGACAGAACAGGGTCTGGGAGAAGTAGCAACAAGACAAAACGTATTGAGAAATACAAAGGATAAGGTGAAGTGGAGAGCCATGATTGCCTACGTCCTGAAGGGATACATCACATAAAAGAAGAAGTGTTGATTTGTGTAATATTATCCTATTTTTTGGCTTTTCTTCACATTTTAACACATTGTCTATGCAGTTTGGCTTTTATTAATTTCATTTCCAATTTCCAGAAGATACTGGTTTCTCAAGGATTTAACGATTTTATTTTCTTTGTTAGTTGTTTGTTATTTTCACTTCCATTTTTTCCTGTTTGTTTCATCCTTATATGAGTTTTATCAACTCAAAGTTGTCGTCCTGTTGGGTGCATATCCTCCCTTCTAGATATTCTTGGGTTGGTCTCATGTGCTTCAGATAACGACGAAATGATAACATTATTAGATTCATCTATATTATGAAATAGACTAAGTCCGACAATTATTTCAATATATTTCTTGTTTATACGTACAAATATTTAAGTAAATGCTCTTTATCGTAAACAGTATTGACAGTATTGCTGCTGGTAAATAGAGCATTTACTTAAATATTTGTATCTATAAAAATAATTCTATAAACAATAAATATATTAAAATAATTGTCGGACTTAGTCCATTTCATAATATAAGAGGTGAATCGTTTACGTTAAGATGCGCTTCGAGCAGATATAAGCGTTCGGGAGAAGCATAAGAAATTTGTAGTTTAAAAGCAGTAATTCGACCTTGACAACCAGACGCTTCCTCTGTAGCTAAATAGTATAACACATTAGGCTATAATACGCTTCTGTGTGGGATACAGGTTCGATTCCTGTCGGAAGGTACATATATTCTATGAAATTTCTAAATGGTAAATAATATAGCACGTTAAACTTTAATACGATTCCGTATAGGATACAGGTTCGATTCCTGTCGGTGGGCTCATGTTTTCTAGGAAAATTTTTCGGACATTCAGGCCCGTAAATGTTGTTAATGCTGTTTATTTTAAACAGAACGTTTACTTAAATATTTCTATCTATAAAAATAGCGTATGTACAGTAAATAGATTCCTTTATGTTTTGATCTAGATATAATGACATCAATTTATTTATAAATTCTAAAAGTACACTTTCATTTTTAAGGGCTTGTTATACCCGGGGGTTTTCCTTGGTTTATATGGGAGAAACGAGTTATTATATTGGCCGGCGTTGTCAGTTTAGTTACAAGTGATCTTTGATCTAATTAAAAGGTCTGCGCAAGCGGCTTAATACATGAGTCTGAAATAAGCTTTTTCTTTTTATTATCTGGGCTTTGCCATGTGATGCAGTTTCATCGGATAATCAAGCCATGGGCTAAGGATACTTCTTGAGTAACAAAAATTTAACAATAGTTCTTCATTGTTGTTTGAAGCTTCCGTTTCTAAGGGTGATGTCTTTTTATCATCAAAGGAGAAGACTGGTGTATATTATAATTTCGATTAAAATATCTGGTGATTCGCTTATTGCAATTCCAACTCCATGTTATCTTTTCACCTTTTGGACTGTTCAAAATAAATTGTATTCCAAATATGCAATGGAATTGCAACCAAGTCGACGAACCTCTTGTATATAGACAACACCAACATTTGCTTACTTGCATTCTTCTAACCGGAAGTTCACCCTGAAATCATCTGATCCTGACTGAACGTTGATTTGTCTTATTTTCCAGTTGAAGCATTTTTCAAGATTGGCTGTTTTAATCAATTTTTTACTTGGCAGGTGAGGTCGCCGACTAGACTTTTCTTAATTTTTCCTTTCCTTCCATGACGGGTGATGTGGTATTTGATTGTATTTTAGGCATTTTCAAGGTTGGTTTTATATCAGAATTTACCTGCTTCTAGATAGATGACCATTAATAGGACCATTAAGTTCTGTCTATCCATTTGGCTTTATGTCAGAGTTTGGCTTCTCTTAGATAGATGACCCTTAACCAGTATTTCAACTTGATGTGGTCGCAAGTCTTTTATAATATGCTTGCATTTGCTTTGGGTGTGTATAAATATATATCCATAGCCTGACACGTAGATGGCTGATTTGTTATTTAAAATTTTATCTGAATTACGTCGATTATATAAAAAAGTAGACAATTCGTTTATTACGACTTTTAAAGCTTCTGCAGTTTATTTAAAGCTAGAAAGTATTTTTTAGATTATAAGAATGTTTTTAGGGGATAATAATGGTTTAATGACACAATTTCTACTAATTAACCCATATCTTGGGGTAGAAGTGGTGAAATGATATCTTTCCCAAGGGTATTCGTGCGTTTGGGAATATATCGAACCTAACTGGAATTGGAACTTGGCTCCCCGATTAATAATTCCATTACACCACTCGCACATCCATGCTTACAACATCTGGTATTTCGAAGTGGTCACCTATCTAGGTACTGACCTGACTCGACGTTGCTTAATTTTGGTGATCGCATGAGTAGCGGTGTTTATGGCCGTAAGCAAACTGTATGTGGCTCTGTCTGAAAGACATAGAACACCGAATTAAAAAGATATAATTATCTTGGGCTTGGCTGAATTATATTTCATCTGAATGATTAATAGTTTAATTTGTAACTCTACGACAGGCTTCAATATAGGCATTTTTAATATCGTACTAACTTCTGGCCGTATGTAATCAAGGCTCTTCTTAGATAACTTTCAATTATTATTTGTGAATTTCCATGAGTTCACGAAAAATATAGAGAGTTCCTTTCCACGATTTCGAGTCATTATCCACTACACAACCCGCACACCCAAGCTTACAGCACTTGGTATATCAAAGCGGTCACCGATCAAGGTACTTACCAGGCTCGACGTTGCTTAACTTCGGTGATCGTATGGGAACCGGGGTTTCAACATGATGTATCCGTAAGTAAAACGTGCACGGTAAAAGGATAAAAATTGAAATAGCAATAGTTATGAGTTCAATCCCTGGGTCAGGCAGCGTGTACTTGCACTCAGTGGAAACGGGCGAGCAATAACTGAACTATACTAAATAGAAATTATAATTAGACCATATCCCTAGCAGTGGAACTAGAACAGTCTATCCAAGAAGATTAAATAAAAGGTTTAGTTCAGAATTCCTTATTGGTTACCCAGATCGATATGCTCCTGAGGAAGGCCAGAAGTCACAGCATCCGAAACGTTGTAATAGCAAAACAACAAAGATGAGGATAAAAGTAAGAATATAAATAGTGTAAATAAAATAAGTTTAATATAAAACGCATTTGATATTCTTTTTTAGTAAATTTTTTTTTATTGAATTTAGAGAAAAGGTCAAAGTTGTGTGGATAGAGATAGGACAATTTTGAACCCAGATTTGCCATCCATCGCTAGATAACACCGTCTGTCATGTTATTTAATGGCTAGCTGGGAGGAGAAGAGAATTCATATTTCTTTTAAGTCTATTTTCCCAAAAACAATGGAGCGAACTTTGTTAGAATTCGAACATAGCTTGCAAATTTCTAGTCTTGAGTCGATGACGATTACATCATATTCACAGACTTCATGAATTCAAGCGCCCTATGAGGCTGGCATCCCGCTCTCACTCTTTCACTGTCGAAACTATTAAATGTAGCCGTCTCTTCTACTCCAATAGCTTCATGTCTCGCACCTCTCGCCTGTGGAACTCCCTTCCCTATTCCAGTTTCCCTGAGAGCTATAATCTCCAGCTATTCAAATGTAATGTCAATCGACATCTCCAGTTGCCTTGATCTATCCACTATCCTTCTCCTCATCCTTTCCTTTATTATTCCTATTTGATCTTGCTCCAAATCTTCTGTAACCCCTTGCGTCCTAGTGGCTTCCCGCCTTGCTTGGGGTGAAACGCTTAAAAAAAAAAGAAAAAGAAAAAGAAAAAAAGGATAGTGTGAGGATGATACCTTAATGTTTGACTTTCGTATAAGCGATATAACATAAAACGAATTTACGAAACTAAATATTTGCTTCAATTATTTAACTTTAATCAAGTCAGCTCAAAATGTATCATTTAGTGATCGACTTCGGAAAAAAGTGTTTCCTTTTTGGGTTTGTAATTTAAGTACAGCCATTTCTATTCTAATTGAACGAGACGATGTCGGTAAAAGAAAAGAAAAACAGCGAAAGGTTCGCAGCAAAACACCGAGTAATTACATCAGGAAATGGATGTCACCTCGTCTCGGCATTGTCGTCTGTTTAAATCACATTGTTGGTATGATATTACCTCCGATGTTTTTCAGTGGGTGATGTTTGAACAACTGATATTGTTTCACACGTGACTGAAATTTATGACATGTTAGGCATAACAGCAAAATTGTCCAAATCGTGTAACAGCATAATTGTTCATCTTGAAAAAAATGTTTAATACCAAAGCGAAAACACTAAACTAATTGAGTTTCTTTTTTCCGGGTTTTCAAATAAGACAGTTAGCCATCTTGACACTATTTGTTGTAAGAACCACTGAAAAAAAACTTTTGAGCTATTCAGCTAAAAAGAGAACAGGATAAAATCGTTTTATGTCAGCCTCACTATGTCTTCCCAACTTAGCAATGGTGAGAGGAAAAAGATCATTCAGGCTTTCAGTAATGGTACCAACATTCATACTCAGACTTTAATCTTCAAATTCCATTCAAGAACCGTCAAGAGAATGGTGAATAAGTTTAAAAGAGAGGGAACAATAGAGTAAAATGGATCACGAAGTCACAGCAGCAAGAGGTATCATCATCATTTCAAATTAGAGATAAAGAGATCAATTAGAAAAGATCCAAATCAGTCCATAAGACGTCTGAGAGAGGAGTTTCAACCTGACAGTCCAAAGAGCAGTGAAAAAAGACTTGAAAATGAAATCGTACGTGCAAGCTGTGAAGCAATTTGTTCTATAGCCTTGGAAGGCAACTGGTCTATCGCAGAAAGAAACGGCTACCTGCTGCGGGAAAATATCTGACTCGTCAGTCATGTATCGAAAGATACATGATCGGCTAAGCGTGTATCACTCATGGCACATAACTGACTGGCGTGCTAATAGCCTCGGGAAAGGTATGAATCCTCTTCTTCTACTACCAGCTATGGGTAAATAGCAGGAGAGACTCGGTTCTATAGCCTTGTATGGCAACTGGTCTACTGTAGAAAGAAATGTTAAGCTACTGCAGGAAAATATCTGCCTCGTCAGTCATATATCGAAAGATACATGATCGCCTAAGCGTGCATCACGCATGACACATAAATGACTGAATATAACGACTGAATTTAAATTTTTGAAGATCTACCCATTTCACCCGAAAAATTATGAGTCGCTGCCAAGTGTAGGTACCGAACAGGAAAGCTGTTATAATCTATCGCTAAAGATGCAGGAAAAATGGTCGGATACCTGTACCATTCCAGTAAGGACCTAAGTCCCCCTCTTGGTTTCCTCTACATTTACAAGAGGCCTAAAATGGCGTGCTACTGTCATATTTGGGTAGGGGGTCGTAAATTTCTGTCTCTACAGAGTCCAACAGTGTCTACGAATCATTATGGGTGACAGGATTGTTTTCCGCCCTTCCCAATCTCACTCTTAAAAGGGGAATGTGGCAAGTCTCTCATTATTCTATCGCTACTTTCATGGAAAGTCCTCGGACGAACTGCATTCCTTCTGCCTGTTCTAACCTTCATGGCCAGGGCCTGCGAATGCCACTCACATTGTAACAAAGCGCCCTTATTCCCACCGTATTCCACTGGAACAGCTTCTTCCCGCGAACCACTTCTCTGTGGAACCGACTCCTAAGAGGATTCTTCCCCGATCACTGCAATCATAATCTGATCAAGTCTAGGGTTAACCGTTATCTCCCCCTCTTATCCGCATAAACTGCCTCTTACTCTGCAATTATCTACCTAAAGTGGCCCCCGTGTCTTGCAAAATAAAGAAAATAAAAAGCAACAAAAAGAAAAGAATAAACACCAAAAAAATATTCCTGAAAAGGCCCCGGGAAACAACGTTACGACGGTGGGAATGGGACTGAAGCCGAGATGCCAGGTCTAGACCAATAATACTGCAGATTTCTCTTCGTATTTCATCAAGAATATCTAAAAACATATCAGACCAGCAGACCAGATGAACGAATATTATTAGTAGTAGACCTATGTTGTACAGTAGTTTTCACAGTGGAGGCTTGTATTTCGCTAAGTTGGTCTTAAAAAGGGTCCGACGTACAAAACGTTAGGAACTTGAAATAAGAGTTAATGACGCAGCAATCTAGTTGTGATGGTTGATACTTCAATGTCCGACATCGACTGACTCACTCAACACCACTGAGCCCAACTGGCCACTGCTACTACTACTACTACTTATTATCTGTGGGAGAGCCTGTTACAATAGAATAGGTAATGTTCAGGTATAACAACCTAGCAATTGATTCAACGTAATCTTTCCACTTCGTGTTAGCGGAAGAATGTTAGCCTGAGAAAGTATGTAAAAGTAGGTAAAGGCAGGTGACGGAAATTTTCATACATATATCAGTTGCAATTAGATATTTGGTAAATCAGTGTGAACATCTGCTAGGCTGGTCATGGCAAGACAACGTGAATTATTGAGTATGTGATCGTAGCTGCCAGGAGAGTGATGCATTAGGTTTTTTGAAAAATTGGAATATTTTATACCCTTCAATCTACGTTGCCAAATGCGTACCGAAAATATCTGATGCAGAGCAACATCATACACCGTGCAGAGCGTCGTGGTCGACTTCTTCTGCCCCTTCTTTGGCTCTTAATCCCGAAAGCAGTCGTTGGGTCGCCGGCGTGCTGAGATGACTACCATTCTCCTCCATCTGTTGTGGTCGTGAGTCAGAGCCTGGGTCTCCGCGAATGTTTTTTTTTAGTGTGCTCATCATTTGGTGTGTCTCAGGCGTTTCAACCTGGCGGGGCCCATCCCTCTCCAGTTTAGACCTCAGCCGATGACCTCCAACTAGATGGCTGACCTTGTTCGCGAACACGTGGCCTCATCTGAGGAACCCTTCCCCTTAGCTTGTGACCTTCGTCGGGGAGGTCCTCCGTCCAGTGGCGCCGTGTTAACGGTGTACCGGAGAATGAAACCTCCTTAGCCATCACATGAGAGATTTAGTTGATGGTTGAGGATCAGTGATGCTCGTTTATTGGAAAGTGCTGCATGCCAGACGACAAAGTTACTACCTCTATGTCTCCTTAAATTTCTTGACCAGAGGTGTCTGTATATATATATATATATATATATATATATATATATATATATATATATATATATATATATATATATATGTGTGTGTGTTTGTGTGTGTGTGTGTGTGTGTGCGTGCGTGTGTGTGTTTATGTGTGTGGTAACTGTTGTGATTCCGAGATGAAATTCGGTCTCCAATGAATGACAAACGCAAGAAATAAAGATAAGAAATTAAATGTATTTACACAAAAATACAAAGAGTAATACCGTTAGTAAATCCAGGAACGCCATTAGTAGCAATAATAATATATATATATACAGTCTCGAAGTAGGACTTCCTTAGAGTCGGGCGTGCTTGTAACTGTGACTTCTACAAGCGGTTACTTCACACTATTACTCTACCTCCAACTCAATTACAATCTCAGTCCGTGTACTCTGTACTCTGACTGACTGTCTAGCTCTGGGTATTTAACGGCAGCAGTCCAAGTAACACTCTGGTCGAGTCCAATTATATGAAAAAGGGGTGGACCCCATAACAGTAACAGACAAACGACATTGGCTCAAATACCATCCATATTCAATGCAGGCCATTTCATCATTCTTTAACTTTCGTGTGATATTGAATCCGAAGATCCTTCAGGTTGGCCCGCGTTTAATATCCACAACGCTTCCCCCATACATACTGGATACAGATGACCGGTAATGTGTAGTTC